TATGTTTAAATGATAATGCCAATAAAACACACTGGACTTTATGGGAAACAATGAAAGCAGATCAAGAGGAAATTTATAGTAGTGAATTCTTGTATCAGGAAAGCAGAACAAGCTGAAATAAACAACTTCATGTTGAATCCAATCTTCTAGAAAAAGAAGAACAAGTTAAGCCCAAAGTATTTATGAAGGAAGAAATTAGAAAGATCAGAGAAAAATTAATACAATTGAGAGTAAGAACACAATACAGAGAATCAATGAATTCATTTGGTTCTTTGAAAGATTAAATAACAATAATAAACTCTTAGCCAACCTTATCAAAAAAAGGAATGACTCAAATTAATACAATTAGTAATGAAAAAGGTGAAATAAGAATAGATCCTACAGAAATCCAGAAGATCATCAATACCTACTTTGAGAACCTCTAAAAAGATGGAAAACACAGAAGAAATGGACATATACATAGATTCATATGAATTGCCAAAACTAAATCAAGAAGATATGCAAAATTCTAAATATCCCAATATCAGTCAATAAAATAAAAAATATAATTAAAACTTGCCTACAAATAAAACCCCAAGTTCTGATGGATTCACTGCTTAATTCTATAAGAAATTAAAGATCTAATGGCAATACTCCTCAAACTCTTTAGTGAAACTGAAAAGGAAGCAGTACACCCAAATTCATTCCTGGAAGCAAACACTATCCTGATAACAAAACCAGAGAAGGACCAAATTAAAAAAAAAAAAAAAGAAAAATACAGGCTAGTGTCCCTAATAAGCAGAGATGTAAAAAATCCTCAATAAGATACTGTCAAATTGAATGCAGCAATCATCAAGAAAATTATACACCATGGGAAACATGGGAAACCATGACCGAGTTGGATTCATCTCTAGCATGCAGGGATGGTTCAACATACACAAATCAATAAATGTAATACACCATATTAATAGAGCCAAGGAAAAAGATCACACAATCATCTCAATAGAAACAGAAAAGGCATTTGACAAAGTCCAACACCCATTCATGATAAAAAAAAAAAAAAAACCTACAGAAAATTGAAATAGATGGTCTTTATCTCAATGGATAGAAGACATCTTTGACAAACCTACAGCCAACATACTAAAAGGTCAAAATATGAAAGCTTTCACTCAAAAAGTTAGGACTAAAACAAGGAAGTCTACTATCACCACTCCTGTTCAATATAATTCTGGAAACATTAGAGCAATTAGACAGGAGAAAGAAATAAAAAGAATAAAGATAGAAAGGAAGAAGTTAAAAAAATAAAAAATAGAAAGGAAGAAGTTAAATTATTATTTGTAGGTAATATGTTACTTTGCACGGAAGATCCCAAAATCTCCACCAAATGACTTCTAGATTTAATAATCAAATTCAGTGACATACATGTGTCTAAAGTTGACCCTCAAAAATCAAGAGCATTCTGGTATACAAATAACAAACTCACTGAAAGATAATTTAGGGAAAGAACCCCTTTCACAAGAACATCCAAGAAAGTAAAATACTTAGGAGACAATCTAATGAAGATAGTAAAAGCTCTCTAAACTGAAAACTATAGTACTCTACAAAAGGCAATCGAAGAAGATGTCAGAAAATGGAAAGATATCCTTTGCTCTTGTGTAGGAAGAACCAACATAGTGAAAATGGCTATACTCCCAAAATTGTTATACAGATTTAATATAATCCTAATCATAATACTATTAGCATATTTTGCATATGAACTGGAGAAAACATTCCTAAATTCTTTGGAACCAGAATAGGCCTAGAATAGTAAAAACAGTTCTAGGTAACAAAGGCAGGGAGGGGGCATCACAACCCCTGACTTGAAACTGTACTACAGAGATACTGTGATAAAATCATCATGGTGCTTGTAAAAACAAACAAAAAATGAACAAGCAAACAAAAATACAGACCTGAGGGTCAATGGACTAGATTATACGATGCAAAACCAACTAGCTACCTAGTCTTTCACAAAGGGACGAAATATTCACTGAAGAAGATAGCCTCTCTAATAAATGGTGCTGGAAAAATTGGCTTTCCATATGCTGAAGACTAGAACTTGACCTACATCACTTGCCATGCACCAAGTTAAAATCAAAATAGATCCAAGATCTAAATATTAAAACAATCCTGTTGGAGAGAGAATAGGTAGAACTCTTGAAAACATAACTATAGACAGACTTTATGAACACATCTTTGATTGCAGGAGCAATACTACAGAGAATGAACAATTTGGATCTCATCTTATTAAACAGCTTTTGCAAAACAAAAGCAATCACCAACAGAGTGAAAAGATCACCCACAGAGTGGGAAAATTGTCTAGCTATTTGTCTCTCAGACAAAGGACTCATATGTAGAACATATAAAGAATTTTTTTTTTTTAAAAAATCAGACCTCCCAGGGCTGGGGAGATGGCTCAGTGAAATAAGTGCTTCCCTGGCAAGCACAAGGGCCTGAGTTCAATCCCCGGTTCCGCTAAAAAAAAATAAAAAAATAAAAATAAAAATCAGACCTCCCAAATTTAAAGACCCAGTGCAAATATTGGCATCTGAGATGAATATATACTTCTCAGATGAAAAAGTACAAATGGCAAATAAATATATGAAAAAATGTTCAACAACACTAGTCATTTGAGAGATGCAAATTAAAGCAACGCTATGATTGTATGTCATTCCAGAAAGAATGGCTGTTATCAAGAAATCAATCAATAACCAATGTGGAAGGGGGCTGTGGGGAAAAGCTAGCCTTCCCCACTGTTCATAGGAGTATAGACTGATGCAATTGCTGGCGAAATTAGTGTGGAGATACCTCAAAAACCTAGGACTAGTGGCATCGTTGGACTCATTTAACTCTCTTTGTTGATATCTTCTCAAAAGAATTAAAAGCAGCAGGGCTGGTCAGATAGTTGAGTGGACTGAAGTGCCTGCTTAGGCAGGCACAGCAACCAGGGTTTGTTCCCTCTTGTGTGGGGCATGCTGAGACATCAATTGAGAGTGGGTGTGGTGGCGCACGCCTGTAATTCCAGCTCTTGGGAGGCTGAAAACAGGAGAATCACTATGAGTCTGATCTATTAGGGAGACCCTGAACACCCTATAGACCCTTCCCTAAAATACAGGGAAAAGAAATTTTAATAGTAAAAGGTCTAGTACATTTGTATTTCTCAGGGCTGGGGAGATGGCTCAGTAGAATAAGCACTTGCCTGTCAAACGCAAGGGCCTGAGTTCAATCCCTGGTTCCGCAAAAAAAAAAAAAAACAAAACAAAAAACAAAAACAAAAACAAAAAAAAACCAAAAACAAACATTTGTATCTCTCCAGCCATTTCTTCTTGCTTTCCATCTTCCATTCAAACTCCAGCCACACTGAAGTATATGTAGTTCCAGAATCTAGGTTTTCTCAAAGTCGTGTTCGACTTGCCTTTCTTTTGGTGCTGGGAATTGAACTTGGGGCCTTTGCACTGAGCTACGATCCCCACCCTTTTTTTTTTTTAAACAGGACCTTACTAAGTCACTAAATTGTCGAGGCTGGGTTTAGCCTTGGGAGCTCCTGTGCCAGCCTCTCCATACACCACTACATCTGGCTAAATGGGTTCTTTTGTGTGGAACTATTTAGGCTATTCTTTTTTTTTTTTTCCTGTATTTTAGGGATGGGTCTATAGGGTGTTTGGGGTCTCACTACTAGATCAGACTCGTAGTGATCCTCCTGTTTACAGCCTCCCAAGAGCAGGGATTACAGGCACGCACCACCACGCCCATTCTCAATTGCCATCTCAGCATGCCCCAGGAGCAGGGCTGGCAGGGCAGGCCTGGGGATCGAACCCCTGTCCCCTGCACCTGTTGCAGGCGCTTTAATCTGCTGCGCTATTTGACTGGCCCTAGGCTATTAGTCATCATCAGAATAATTCCTATAAACCTTATGACTCAGGTTAGTGTTCCCTCTTCCAGGAAACTTCCCCTCACTCCTGTATTTGGATTAGGCATTCCTCCTGGGTGTTCTGGTAGCCTGCCTCTCTCTCTCTCTCTCTCTCTCTCTCTCTCTCTCTCTCTCTCTCTCTCTCTC